GAAAGGAGAGCGGCGCGCAGCTCACATGACGGTGGCCGGGTCTACTCACTATTCCTATCACTCCTCTGTCATCCTACATAACATGCATGCCGCGAGTTGTGCTCCTTATGCGCTCTGAGACGGGCGCTGTTTAACGACCCAACATGCATGCCGCGAGGTGTGCTCCTTATGCACTCTGAGACGGGCGCTGTTGAACCTTGATCCGTGAATTATTCATCCGTGTTTATTTATTTACCGATTAGATACTTCCCTTCTTCATTATTCGTTCACTGCCTCTATTAATCTTAGATCCTCTCACAATTCCCCCGGCCGCCAACCCGAATGCTGCGAGACGTAACAAACATTATACAGTCCACACAAGAAAGCCAGAGACGTCCGCAACAGAATATTTATTTGACACATACAGTATTGAGTCACTGACATTGTTATTGGTTAAAGACCTTACCTACGTTGTTGATATCGGCCACCCGAGCATGGCAATAGAATGTTCCCCTCGCCATGCTGAAGCCTAGCCCAGGCTTTCTGGGACTGGCAGACGGATGTCACTTGACTGCCTCCTGAAAAGCCCAAGAATAAGTACCTATCACATCAGCCAGTAGCCTCCAGGCCATGCATTCTGCAGCGACCGCTGGTGGCCGTGTGAGCTGTGATCGACCGCGGTCCGCGCTCCAAGGAATGTGGTATATGTAGGTAGGTAGGTAGTGGTACCTACTGTTCTAGCTCAATGTGCATGCTTTGGTGGCAGGTGGAGCGCTAACCAGACGGTTAACGACTCACATCAGGTAGTAGCATACGACGCATATGTTTTGTACCGGCGGACGATAGGTATGACCAAGACCCTAAAACATAGGCATGTCTACCTACTCGGCAGAAATTAGGGCTAGGCAGAAATTTAGGTAGATCCTTAGTGATGATCGGCATAATCACGTATGCCTATTGTATAGCATAACAGCAGCCTTACATAGTTTTGATTGCATAGAGACAATATCGTGTTTTGTCATGCGTACCTACCTAACGAGTAACGACCCAGTAAACATGCCGACGTCGGCCCAACGTCGGCCCAACGTCGGTTCCACCTCGGCCCGACATCGGCTGGACGTCGGGTACGTCCGCATATACCGATGTCCAGCCGAGGTCCAGCCGACGTCGGGCCGACGTCAGGCCGAGCGAGATCGTTTGCCGAGAGGTTGAGCCGAGATGACGTCCGGCCGACGTCGGCCCGACATCTCCTCGCCATCCATCAACCCGAGGTACAGCCGACGTCGGACCGACGCCCAGCCGATGCACAGCCGACGTCCCCTCGCTCTCAACCCAACGTTCCTACGCTACCAGCTCGACGTTCAGCCGATGTTCAGCCGACGTCTCTCCGCTATGATTAGCACTCGTCAAAAGCCATGTACAATCTTAATATTAAGACATGGAGTAAGTGACCACCCCGCTTCCTTCATGTCATTCATATAAACTATCTAATTTGCATAGAACTTGATGGTTTTCGGACCGAGAATCTCAGACTATATATTCATTGCCAGGTGAGGAGTTACTGCTTCAAGTAGCAGCCGTGCGGCGTCCTGTGGTGAACTCGACCAATGTACGACACGGTGACGAGTCTAAATATCATTGTCAGTAGCGGTGGAACACTTTCAATTAACCCGCGCACCGACGGGGGTCTGCGCCAACTTAGTACCGACGGGGGGGGGGGGGGGGCGGATGACCGCCCCCCCCCCCTGAGATCTCGAGAACGAAGCAAGATAGCGACAAGCGGTAAACGGCATCGGATACGCACGGTCAAGATCTACAATTTTTACTAAGGTCATTTTCAGGTCAGGTCAAAGATGACGTCACAGGGGTCGAAAAAGTCAAAATGGCGGCGCTAAATATGGAGAGAGTTTTTCTCGAATAACTTTCGAATTAGTCAAGATAGGAACAAACTAAGGGCATCATCGTGATCCTCTCGTCAATCCGCATCGAATGATATATATGTTGACCTCGAAAGGTCAAGGTCAAAGGTTGACCTCAGGTCACGTGACCTCGAGGTCATCATGTATATCATTCGATGCGTCTTGACGAGCTGAACACAATGAGACCATCCACGCGTCTGTATCTTGTTCCTGTACGGAGTTATTGGCCAAAAACCTTTGGTGACCTTTGATGACGTCACATGACCTCACAGCTGCCCAACAGCAAAACAGACCTCAAGGTAGTGAAGGTTGATCGTATATGAAGTCATGTATGGTATATGGGGCCATTCCGACCCGTTTTAGTGGTAAAAACAGGGAGTTGATTTTTCCCCCATTGACTTATAATGGGGAGGTCGCGAAATTGACCTGACCTTAGGTCACCGATATCAAAATTCCGAGATATACAAATTGTAGCTACTAATGACCTAATAACATCCTGCGACTTTCAAAGGCCTCCGACATCTACTGTAGCTCTGGCACGGTGACAAAGTTGCAAAAAAGTGACTTGAGGTTGGGTCATTCAAAGTGACCTGGTGACCTGACCTTGAAAGGTAGGAGGTTCAAACTTGCACACCATGTGTAAAATTGATAAGGGAATAGTCATACCAAATTTCGCGGCGCTACGCGCCGCGGTTTTCCCGCTATTCGCGAAAAACCTCAGGGGGGGCGGATATCCGCCCCCCCGTCGGTGCGCGGGTTAAGGGGGGGGGGACTTTGCCGACTTCTGGCGCCATTCTTTTCATGCAACACCCATAGGGCTAATGTTGAAAAGGCAAAATCAAGGAGGCACGGTGTCCCGGTGCCCCCCCCCCCCCCCCGCTCCGCCGCCTATGTATGATCATTGTGACCTATTCACACACCCGACACTATTCACTCTTTTGCCTTATCTCTAAACATCACCAGCTATTCGTGAAAACAGGTCCCGACCAGGGGCGCGCCGCGCGGGAACTACTTTCAGACTGTGGGGCACACCATAATAGAAATCAGCCTATAGGGTACCGACCCCAAAATCTAGTTTTCTCATCGGTTTTAGGCCACTTTTTTCATCACTTTGCTTTTTCAACAAAAAAGAAAAAATGACAAAAAAGTGCGGTGTTCCGTCTCAAAGTTGAGGGGGCACCGCCTCCACGGCCCCAGAGTTGTGGGGCAAGCTGCCCCCACTGCCCCCCCCCAGCTCCCGCGGCTATGGTCCCGATTTTAGGTGTTGGACATCAGCGCCATCTCTCGGCAGAGGTGGAGATCTCGGGGGGGGGGGGGTCAGGACCCCCCTGAAAACGAATTACTGCTATGTAAGTCAAGGTACTGCATCCAGCCCGCCTCCATCTGCCCGGCCTGGACCCCTCTGAAATTTTGACAGATCTCCACCCCTGTCTCTCGGTAACATCTTAACCCTCGCCGGCACAGGGGGGGGGGGATGATGCACCCCCCTAAGGTTTTTCGCGAATAACTCGCGTAAAAAGCGGCCGATCGCAACGAAACTTTCGGTACCCTCGCATTTATCAATTTTACACGTTCCCTGAAAATTTCATGACCCTGACCCCAATGACCTTTGACCTGTGACCTCTTTTCCGTGACCATGTTTGGCCGAAATCGCGATTCGGCGTATGTCGGCTCGCATTAGCCGCGCGTTTGCAAGCTTTTCGTGGTTTCAAACGTTCAAACATGTTATTTGATGTTGCTCCCATACATTAGGGTGGGTGTCAAGGTCACCTGAAGGTCAGGTCAGGTCATTGACCTTTGGTGACCTCGGGTGACCTTGGTTCACTTTTTCGAGTTTTACATGTTTCTAGGCTAGTTTTTGGAGCTGAATTCGAATTTAGCAACCACTTGAACATTTACGAAGTAGTTTTGGTGCCTTCGTAACATGTTACGAAGCTGTCAGAGGCGGTTGACACGTATTACGAATACCCGTCACAACCCCTACCGGTTGACCTGACCAGTTACCTGACCTGACCCGACCTGGTCTAAATGCTTAAAAACATCATCTCTGATCAAAACTGACACGATATTCGTGATCAGCACCCCGGAAAACCACATAGCAGCCACACTTCACGACTTTCTAACAGGTCCCGATTTTCCCGGTTTTCGAGTCATTGACCTGACCTGGAAGGTCAACCGATGACCTAGGACCTTAAAATTGGGTATCATCGGCTTCGTCTCGTGACTGGCAACACGCTCGTTTTTTCCGCGAAGCTCTAGCTCGATCAGGGGCCAAACGCGAGGGGGGGGGTCGTACCAACCCTTGTGCCGTCGAAGGACACAAAATGGCCTGTGCCGGCGAGGGTTAAGGCTGGACTTCGGCTTACCGATATTATCCTTCGATATGGCGCACACAAAGTTCAATCTCGGCAAACGATCTCGGCCCGACGTCGGCTGGACGTCACTACTTGCGGACGTACCTACCCGACGTCCAGCCGACGCCGTGCCGAGGTTGGACCGACGTCGGCATGCTGATGCCGAGATGCCGACGTCACCCCGATGTGTGCTTTGCCGATGCCGGGCCGACGTCGGCATGTTTACTGGGGACGACTGACGCTTGTCAATTTCGGTGGCGTTCCCTTCACCAATTTGACAGATCTCATTTTGATGGTTTAATTGGCGCAAAAGATACAAAATATAAAGCCAAACTCACAACTCACTGAGCCAAACGGTCGTTTGGTGTGTCGCTGCCTAATTTCAAAATCAAAGATGCTTTTAGTGGTTGTTTATATATGCATTTTCATTTAAATTTTTTTATTGATGCCAAAGGCAAACGATTTTAAAAAGCAACAGAAGGGTTACAGATATCCCGGAAACTGACCGAGCGAGTGCCGAGGCCACAGAATGAGAAGCTCGAAGCTTATTGCAATTGTGGGCACCTACCTAAAAGTATGATCTTCATGCTTAGTTAAGATGCCACAATTTTATCATTGCTGCTTGGATTGCAAAAATATTTTGCCTGAAAAAGCTGGATTTTTTTTTAAAATAGGTATGTTTAAGGCTGTTTTTTTTCTGGAAGCAACCACCATGCTCATTCACATTTTGATTTCAATTTGATTCATTGTCCTGGATGTTAGTGCTGACTCATGACTGGAGTTTAATTAGAGGTTGCGACCTCAACAACCTTGGCCTTTTACTTTGGTGTAATATCAGCATGTATACCAGCTTAAGCATGCAGATATAAGAACAGCATTGTAATTTAACATATTTTGCGTGAATGCAGCGCTTTGAGGTGGCTCGGTCTCTGTTTTTATGAGCAGGAGCATGCCTGCCATCTGATTGGTCAAATTTACATGTAATGGTAGGTACTGTGTGTTGCGATAAGAACCGAAGAAACGCCAACATCCAACAATAGCAGTGAACTTCTGTATATGGTAATATTATCAATATACAGTCAGTATATGGGAAAAACTAACTTGACCAATATTCAATAATCAGGTTGAGGTATCTTGCATATGACTGTTTGTGCCTGTTTTTCCTTTTTTGCTGAGCTGTTTGAGAAAATGTTAATCTTCATTGATTTATAATCCTGGCAGTGGCACACAGATCAGTTTTGACCTGAAATGATTCACTTAACTGAGAGAACAAATTGATACAATTTGGAAAGAAACATAAATTCATTTATTTAACATTTCTCATGTTTGTTACAGGCTATCAGAACAGTATGACCACTGTTGAAGAGCTTGATGATCACCCAGTGTTCAAAAATGACCCAATTAAACTGCAGAGTATGCTGTACAGGGAAGTTGAGCTGACTACTTGTGATGGCCGTGTTCACAATGGCAGGGTTTTGACCATTGACCCTGTCTCAGAAAGGTGAGTCTGTACAACAGCATCTGCTTACTTCTTGTGGCCATGTGCATGATGCAGCTGCATTGACAGCTGAGTGCTGACATGAGCATGACTTGTTTAATTAGGTCTGAATATTGCAGGAATGTTTTAAGCTTAGTTTTCAATTTACCTCCAGTGTTCGACAGTTTACCATGACCCTGACCTGACCTGACCTCTGGCTCTGACTGTGACCGGTGGTGGCGTGTGTTTCAGCTGGGTGCTGGTCAGTGGTCTGGAGGCCCGCAGCCCCACCGTGGAGCTGGTGTTCGGTCACGGTGTGACGGCCTCTCGCACCCTCAGCGCAGAGTGTGACGAGCGGACCCGCCGGGCCATGGACTCCCTGCTCCGCACCCAGACGGTACGGTACACCGCGGTCGCTCCGCCCCTCACCGAGTCTCGTTTACCGTAAACTGCTATCTAAATATGCAACCAAAAAACATAAAATCATCACTCAAGGAAAACATGGCTTGTTGCGGGTAGGTCGATTTTCCGTGAACATATGTAGCTCTAAGGTTAGCCGCATCAACCAATTTCATGAGTGTCGGCTGTCTTTTAGTGTCGGCTGTCTTTTATAAAATTCCAGTGACCACCAGTGTCGTCTTAGTGATGCGGTCAGCGCTCTGACGTTCGCACGTGACTGACTCCCCTCCCCACCCCCGCCCAGGTGGAGCAGAGCGCGCTCTCGCCCGGCGCACTGCGCGCCCGGCGTGATCACGTGGTCGGCTGGCTGCGGCGCCACCGTCTGCCGGTGGAGGTGGGCGCCGATCACGTGACGGTGGCCGGCGTGGCCACGCTGCACGCGCCGTACACGGCCGACCAGTGCGTCTGCGCCAACGAGCTGGTGCTGCAGCGGCTGGACGCCCTGCTGCGGGCCGCGCCGCCGCCGGACGGAGCGGAACACCCGGCAGGAGAGCCGCCAGAGGTCAGCTGACGCGCCGCGCCGCGCTGGGAGCTGGCCGAGCGGGAGGGGGTCTCACTGCTGGGGAAGCGATCGTGCCATTGTCATTTGTACTTTTTGTCAAACAATATAACTGATTTTGATACACATAAGTCATTTTCGGTGACAGCATATTCGCTGCTATTTGTAATGGATGACATGAGGTCAGTAACCAGGCGGTTTCACTCGAAACAGCTCAGGAATCTTTATTTTCAAAAATCAAAGTACAGTATTGCTTAAAGCAAACATAAGGAACATAACAGAGCTACATCATGTACTAGCTGGCCCGGATGGTTGCATAAATAGGCTCTGTGGGCGCGGCGCTCGCCGGGCGGCCCCAGTTCAGCGCGCTCCGTGGCCGTCCCCCGCCAGTAGGTGCAGCTGCCCGTCATGTCGCCACCGGTCTGTCCGTGGCGCGTCCCGTCACTCGTCAGCACGGCACTGCCGCCTCGTCAACCACCGCGAAGCGAAGCGAATAATTTTGACACAAAGCGGCCGGACGCGTTGGCGTCGCAGGCACCACGTATCACCACCATATGCACGCATGCGCTCACGTACACCAACACACACACACACACACACACAAACATAGCGCACAGACGTTCCACATTTGTAGCGGGTCTCACTCGGGCCACTCGGTCCTCGCCGTGCGCGCGACACTAGCGCCCCTGACGGCGAAATTCGGCGGCGCTCAGCCCGTTCGAGACTATTGTGACGTCGAGTTCGTACCGTCTCGGCGACTGGGCGTCAGACCTCAGCCGCGGGCCGGACGTCAGTCCGGGCTGACTGTTCATAAGCACTCTGCACCGACCGCTGAGACCGTCCAGCGGCTCTGAAATACGCCGCGCCGCTCCGGACTGTGCCGGTTTCGGGCATAGAGTCTCGCTCTGGGTCGCAGAGCCTCACTCTGCCGGTTTCGGGCGTAGAGTCTCGCTCTGGGTCGCAGAGCCTCACTCTGTAGCGGCGCTGGCGGCTGTTCCATCCGCGTCAGCGGCGCTGTCGCACTTGGCGACCGCGCCGGACGCTCGATCCCGCGCTGGACTAGTCGGCTCTGGCTCTGGACTCGCGCCGCCGCGGACCCGAAGCCGAGGCCGGCCCGTGGGACTGCTGACTCAGACGGGCGCTGGCGCAAGTGAAAGCGTAACCTGCAACAGAGCGCGTGGTGAGGAGGTGGCGCTAAAGTCGTACTACGGTGCTGTGCTAAGCTAGGCTCACTTTCGGCTGTTGGTCTCAAGGTTCAACAGTTTGGGGGACGACAGATCGCAAATACTTGCAATGAGGAAGAGGCTAGGGAAGATGAAGGAACATGTTGTCTAGTGTGAACGGCGAATTTACGATTTTGACATCTACTCTGTATTGCTTGCTTCAATGAAAGCAACCCCACATAAAATAGACACTCATAGCCATCTGGTTACCATGGAGGATCGGGGGCGGAGACCACGCACCAGTCACTGTCTCTCACCTATGGGTGCGGTGGGACCCCCGGGGCCCCGGTACCCACTCACCTATGGGTGCGGTGGGACCCCCGGGGCCCCGGTACCCACTCACCTATGGGTGCGGTGGGACCCCCGGGGCCCCGGTACCCACTCACCTATGGGTGCGGTGGGACCCCCGGTACCCACTCACCTATGGGTGCGGTGGGACCCCCGGTGCCCACTCACCTATGGGTGCGGTGGGACCCCCGGTACCCACTCACCTATGGGTGCGGTGGCCGGTGGGACCCCCCGGTAACCACTCACCTATGGGTGCGGTGGGACCCCCGGTACCCACTCACCTATGGGTGCGGTGGGACCCCCGGTACCCACTCACCTATGGGTGCGGTGGGACCCCCGGTGCCCACTCACCTATGGGTGCGGTGGGACCCCCGGTACCCACTCACCTATGGGTGCGGTGGGACCCCTCGCCTATGCCCTCTCACCTATGGGTGCGGTGGGACCCCCGGTACCCACTCACCTATGGGTGCGGTGGGACCCCCGGTACCCACTCACCTATGGGTGCGGTGGGACCCCCGGTACCCACTCACCTATGGGTGCGGTGGGACCCCCCCCCCCCGGTTCACTCTCACCTATGGGTGCGGTGGGACCGTTCACAAGACGGCGAGCAGCGCGCAGAGGAGCGCCGTGGCCGCTGTCAGCGCGCCACTCCGTGTCGACACCGCGCTGTTGGGGTCGGTCGACCCGAGCGCCTCTGGAAACGGAGCGACGACGTCAGACAGACGACAGGGGAGCGCGCCGGGCGGGGGGGGCTGTTCAGCGGGACAGGCGGGGGTCAGAGAGGGGGGGGGCCTCTCCAGCGCGCCCCTCAAACACCGACCGGGATAGACCACATCCGTCTGTAAATGTTTGGGCTGGCGTATCATTTTGGATGCTATTGATTGCTGAATTGTTGTTTCCAAGGCATGTTAGCATCCTTGTTGATTTCATAAGGTTTGGTAAAATGGCCAGTGTGATTTTTTGAAAGAAGGAAAGAAAACCCGATATGCCCACAAGTTGGAACACGCACTTGCAAAGACATCTCTGCCCAAACACAATCTCCATCCACCAGCATGCGCGCTCCACCTGTCGAACCCGAGATCGCACCGGGCACGAGGTTAGTGTGTATCTAACTGGTGTCCAATCCACACACATCTCAGAGACACAGTTTAGCCTCCATCCGGGCCAGCCGGGGCCCTGGCAGACATGCAGAGGCTATGAATTGTCAGACAGCCGCACTCGAGCCCCTACTGAAGAGAGAACACGCCCGAACACCGCACACGGGGTTAGGTATGTCAGAAGAGGGTGAAAACCATCACCGTATCAGATGCTGTTCGAGTGTTATCACTACAGAGGCACTACGATCGTTATTCGTATTGATGGCGGACCTGGTACGGCTTGTGGCGTCTCAGTAATGCTTATTTTATGCCTTTTGACGATAAATCACTCCCTCTGACTGTTTTAGTTGAAATGAGTTTGGTTTGGTTGACTATTTTTATCGGCATGGAAATTTTACCACAAAGAAAGGAAAAAGAGACAGAATGACGCCACGTCCAGCCCACCAGCCAATATCCGCCTCTTTCAGTTCATAACCACCACTACTCTCGGTGCTGCCGGGCTTTCTACGTCCGACGACCAGCGCCCAGAGTTGGCCAGGTCCTGCGGAAGGGGTCAGTTGGGCGCGCCTCTGCTACTCTGCGGAGCGTTAGAGTCACAGCACTCCCCACATGCAGCCGGAGGGCCGGCGGTCCGGCCGGGGTCCTTACCGCCTCCGACCAGGTCAGCAGCGGTGAAGTCTGAAAGGCGCACCCGCCCCGGCGTCAGCTCCCGTCACAGTGGCACAAAATGGGGAGTCACTTTAAACATCTCAGGGCGATAAGAAAATTGAAGCAGTTCTCTTGGACATCTAAGGTGATTGCCTGCAGCGATTTACTCCTACCCTAGCTTTCCTGAAACAGTGGTTCTGTTGTTCTAATACAGGCAGCCTGACCCACGGAAGGCATTATGAGCGGCGGCGCCCCTCGTACTACCCGCCAGCGCGCCGCAGCCCATCTGGCTTCTCCACCTCCCCCAACTCACGTGCGCCGAGTGTATAGAGCTTGAATGGCCGGCTGGGCTCCTCGCTCCAGCCGTATTTGTTCTTGGCCGTGACGACGGCCTCGTAGGCGGTGGCCGGCGCCAGGTTCCTGAGCTCATGCAGGTGCGAGTACACGACCGTGCTGCCCTCTTTGGCCGGCGCCGGAACTGTAATCTGCTCCCACTGCTGCTTGGGGCTGCTGTTGTTCGTCTGAAAAACGGACGATGGTATGTCAAGGGACGATTCAACGAACTTTCTATGGCACGACAGGCCGTTTTCACGTTTCGTTTCTCTATTACCATTCTGACAATGGCCAAGTCAGACAAGCCACGGTAGTGGACGCCAAACCCAGCGGCTCCGGTCGTTCACAAAGCCAGTAGGTACAAATGGTTTTTCGTGGAAACTGTCTTTGTTATTTCCGTGGTCCGTGGAACACATGAAAGACAATAGGCCATCTGGTCTATTCACATATTGTTCCAGATAATTTCTCAGCGCGTGATTCGGCTTCAGAACGCTGAGTGGAGTAGTTTCGCGTCCACAAATGTCACTTTTTAATGTTTCAGAGACAAGACCAATTTTGACCATTTAACTGCAGCACTCTGGGAAATAATCCTAAAAATGTTTCTGTATAGCTTTTCTACCTTATCCATGCCCCGTGCACCTCGTCAGACCATCATTTAATTGCATACCACCGGATCGGGAAGCTCGTCAGGTCGTAAACCCTAATCCTGCATACCGTCTCCCGAGCGTCCCCTTTTGGTGCGTCCCTGCGTCCACACGTGCCGGCGTCCCCACGTGCTGGCGTCCCCTGCGCGGTCCCCAGTTATTCAGCAGCCAGGTGCCTGCGTACCTAACCCGCCATGCCCACCTCCGCTGCCGCCGGAAACGGCAATGACCCAGCCCGCGGCGGCCCTGCGCGGCGGCGGCGGTCGAGCGCCAGTGTCCGGCACAGCCCGTCATTACCGGGCTATAATTTAATTTCGCCGCCCGCCCACCGTAATACAGTCCCACTCACCCATCGGACGGATGGGGGATACAGCCTGCTCAAACAGGAAGACGGATAGGGCCAGACGCAGAACGTGAGCGCGGTGAGGCCAGGGCCTACCGGCGGAGGCAGCGTGAGGTTATGCTGTATGAAAACTGAAAAGGGACAGGGAGGTTTTACGTGATACCTAACGAACGAAGTTCCATGACTCGAGTTAAGCGTGTTCGTTTCCATAACAGCGTTGTTGGCAGTTCTTAGGAAACCATCAACCTTCAACACGTTCCTGGTAAAGATACTTCTCAAATTTCACGTGCGCTCGTCCGTTGCCCTGCTGCGTTTAACCCTATGGTTGAATGGGTTGATGAGTCACCCTTGTTAAGTTGTAGCGCCACGTGAATGTTATGTCGGAATAGCGTGCTGCCTTGGACTGCGGAACTCTCCTCCAAGGTCGGCCGCGGCCGGACGGAGTCAGCGTCCTGACGTCAATGACGTGACCGCGTGCTGATGTCAGCCTGTCAGTCACGTGACGGCGTACTGATGTCAGTCCGTCAGTCACGTGTCAACAG